CAGTATTTCATGAACGAACCAAACACATTGAAGTTGATTGTCATTATGTACGTGAGAAAATACAGCAAGGATTGGTGGCTACAGGGTATGTGAAGGCTGGAGATCAGCTAGGAGATATCTTTACTAAAGCATTGAATGGAGCACGAATAGATAATTTGTCTAACAAGTTGGGCATGATTAACATATATGCACCAACTTGAGGGGGAGTGTTAGAGTATATATTAATATATTTTATATTCTTGTATTAATATTAATTTGTCTTTTACCTTCTCCTTATAGGATTAGGTCAACCTTGTATATTTGTCTATATATATAGACTTTAATAATGAGAATACATAATTTTGGATTCTCTCCGACCTTAGTCTCTACACTTATATTTTATTTTTGCATCTCATCCCTTTGGGGTTTGTATCTTTGAACAATTACTGTTCTTTTTCATATATCAATGAAAAGTTCGTTTCTTGTTAAAAAAAAATAAAAAATTGAATAAGAGAATTGAGTTATGGGCTTTGATTACAGTGGCTAATTCTAATTAACCTACAGTAACTAACTCTAACCTAAGTAAATAAACAATAGTTAAGTAAATAAAAGAACTTGGACAGAAATACAAATAGACCCTCAAAATAAACAAACAATCTACTAGATCATTTCTTGAGCTTTCCAAAGAATCAAAATAATCTTCCTCCACCGTCAAGTGTGGCAGTAATTAGGAGAAAAAACTTGGGACCTTAACTTTTTCATGAACCTCAAAGATGAAGAAATTATGGATTCGCTCAACGGTCTCTCTATCTAATATGCCTGATGTGTGGGAATGGTTTTTGAAGCTTCCTAAATGCTTCCCCATGTGTTCCCTCTATAACATGCTTAATTCAACCATGAGTATCGACCATTCCCTCTAAGCAAATTCATTTAGCACGATACACCCCAATAAGATTTTCTTTACTGGGAGCTCAGTCCAAAATTAGCATTAATGACATGGTCCAAAAGAGATTCCCTCACATGCCTTGTTGCTAAATTGGTGATGGTGTGTAATTTGAGTGCAAATTCCCTCGAGCACCAATTTCTTTCCAATACCTTTGCTCAATAATAATGGATTTTCATTCTTGAAGCCTTCAACTGGCACATAGCCTTCAACCTACCAATTCATAAGACCTTCTTGCTTCCATTTTTTCGTAGGTCATCCATTCAAAAATGAGATGAATATCCCATGGCTACATTACATATTAACATGGTACTTTTTTGGAACCTATGGCTAGAGAGGAACAACCAAACCTTCAATAACCCTATGGAACCTTTTAACTCTTTCATGAATTTGGTCCTTTTTTTCCCAACTTTATATTAACATACCTCCTTATTGTAACTCACTTGCCTCATGAGGCTTGAGTTCCCCTCTTTTGTAATATTTCATTCTATCAATGAAATATGTGTTTCCTCTTCAAAAATATATATATGTATATTCAAACAATGGAACAGCCTAAATATAAGAAAAGACAACTGTATCAGCATTGAAACAAGCTAAAAGGTAACAACTTTCCAGGGAAAAAATATAAATATCTACATAAGAGAGAAAAAAAAAATTTAAAAAGGAAAAGGGACATGGGCTACTAGGCTTTGAGCCAACTGGATCTTCTTGGACGGGCTTTTTCAACTTGTTGGGGCTATTCCAGGAACAATTCTATTAAACAGTGAAAACAACTTTAGAAAAGGAAAAAAAAAAGGTTTATCCAGCCAGGTTTTCCATATTAAGAAACAAATTTTGTTTTTGAAATCAAGAGCAGTTTGTTCAGTTCACCTCAAAAATCAAGAACATATTTTATCATCATTTCCAAACAACACCTTAATAACAGAAAAATACTAGTTCATGGAATTTAGTGTTGCGAAGAGCTTTGAAAGAGGAAGAAGTGGAGGAATTTTCTACATTATTATCAGCTCTAAATCTGCTGTCCATTTCAGATATAATTGATAGCAGATTTTGGAGTCTTGAACCTTCTGGTTTGTTCACAGTTACTTCACTAAGAAGATTTGGTTCAAATGCATCGATGCCCAAGGAATTTTTTGCTGCTTTATGGAAAACCAAGAGCCCAAGAAGGGTTAATGTGTTTTGCTGGATTCTCTCTCAAGGAAAGTTGAATATGACTGATATTGTTCATAAGAAATCTCCTTCTGCTGCCCTACTTCCCTCTTTTTGTTGCCTCTGTACAAAGAGTGGGGAGGATCATGACCATCTATTTTTTTCATTGCTACTATTATGCCTCTAAGTGTTGGAATCTGTTATTCCATCAATTCAATGTGTTGGCGTTTTGATCTCAAGGCCGGGGACAATGTTTATCAGCTTTTACATGGGCCTCCTCATCTTTCCTCTTCAGTTTGGTTTTCCTGGTTAAATGTTGTCAAAGCCTTATTATCGGAATTGTGGTTCGAGAGGAATTCAAGATTATTTGAAGAAAAACGAAGACTTTACGACGAAAGTTTCTATTCAGCTAAGTTTAAAGCTTCACTTTGGTGTTCGCTTGTCGACTCTTTGACGCATCACTCTCCTTCTATGATTTATGCTAATTGGGAAGCTTTTATTAATTTTGTGTAATTCTGTTATTTACATTTTTTATTTTTCATTTTTCACTCTTTCGAGAGTTTGTATCCTTGAACACTATTATCTTTTCATTATTTCAATGAGAAGTTGTATCTTTGTTAAAAAAAAAAAACAGAAATCAATAACAGTTTTTAACATCATTTCCAAATAACACCTTAAGATCAGAAATCTAAAGGAAGATATAGAAATGCCTTAACTCCAAACATCCTCTCAAGATCCCTTCACCATTCACCTGTTCCTTATAAAAAAATATTCCATAAATTAGTTGTTATTTGCTTTAGTTAGTTAACAATAGCTGTCAGCTGTTCTAATAACCAATTAGTTGCTGCTTTACATGGTTTGACAATTCAGTGGAAACAGTTAGTTGAAAGCGGTTGTACCCTTTAGATGGGCAGGCTACAATCTTTTTGCATGTTTTAGATTTAAATAAGTGAAAATTGATTGCATCATTAAGCTTAAAATCATACCCAAGATAGTATTTGGGTTTCATGGTAAAAGCCTTTGAGCATGGTTGGCCGCAAGGGCCGATCAATCAATCTACAAATGAGAACCTGAAAGCAACAAAAGCAATGAAATAAATAATATAACAGAATGAAGAGAAAATTAATTGATCGGTCCTACTACATTTGGTTACCAAGAAAACAAATAGGAAATTAATTCTTAGGTAGGTGGCCATCATGAGGTTTTAACTATTTCAATTAACAAACTCAAACAAATTACTTTATTATCTACTTTGACAAAAGATTGGAGAGGAGTGTTTGAGTTAGTAAAGTTTCAATATACTATATAGAGAGAGTTAGCAACCATACTCCTGCAACTAACGGTTGGTTTTTGTAAGTTCCATTGGGGAGTTTGGCCTGCATGTAATACTTGGTATAGTGGACATTATGAAGTAACCTTTCACTAATCAATAATCAATTTATTTCTTGTTTACACATTTCTTGTTTATCTTATTCTTGCAACTCCATTTTCCTATATATGCTTCTTGTATTTTGCATCTTATCATAATGAAAATAATTAAACTCTAGCCCGTGATCAACCTACATTGCCAAACTCGTTCAAATTTAACTTAGAATATTGTGTTCTTATTTAGACAATGTTTCTATACAGCAAATAGAATATACCTCATGATCTCTTGCTCTTCCTTCTCGTTTGAAGAACCCTCCACTGAGCCAATGTTATAAATGAGGTTATACATCAAACTGGAAAGAAAAATAACTATAGGAAACGAGTAAGGAGAGGGTGCAAGGCAGACCTAGTCCGACCTGCTGCAGAAAAACGTTCTTGATAATTAACAGAAAGAGGAAAGAAATCTGAAGGTTCGCTCGGAGTATCAGCCAAACAAACAGATGTATAAACAATCTGAAGATATAAATTCAAACATGTTAGTTTCTCCTAATCAACTAGTTTGCAAGAAAAATTATAGTTTCTTTTGCATGTGGAAAATCTAAGTTTTTTAAACAAAGGGACCAACTTTGATTGATAAACATGAAACAATGCCCAAGGAATACATTAAAAAAAATCAATAATTAATTAATAATTAAAAAAAAAAGGCCTAAGGTGAAAAGATTCAAGAAACAAAAAGCAAATAAGCTAGAAAATTACGAGAAAGGGCTCCAATACAAAAAAGAATGAGAGACAAAGGATAATCACGAGACCCAAAGTAAGACATTGAGCCTAGCCGAGGCTGAAACCTCCCCCACAACCTCTCCATTCTCTCAAGCCAAATATTCCATAAAATCGCAAAGAAAGCAGCATACCAAAGAGCCGCCCCCTATCTCAGAAAGGCTAATAAAAATAACACCTCACCCATCATAGACCAATGCGACCTACTATGAGCCAACTACACTCCAAAGGTCTCAAAAGCACTATCCCAAATTGCACCTGCAAACTGAAAATTCCACAAAATCTTCAAAGCACTCTTACCAATGTTGCACCACTAAGACGCTAAGAGCAGAAGACACACTCTAGATAAGGTCAACAGTGTTAATCTCTCATGCGAGACCTGTCAAGCAAATAAATTGACCTTCTTGGGATATGCACCTTCCAAAATGGGGACAACAAAGAGGGAGCTTGAAAGATTAGAAAAGAACGGACTACAGGAGAACTCCCAAAAACGACTGGGACACCATAAAACAAACATCCATAACCCCAAGCAAAAAAAACTAGCCATCAAAGAAAGCAAAAAGGAAATATCCTAAGACCCCCAATCAAATGAAGGCCACACAAAGCCAAAATTATGTGCAAGGGAAGCCCCAAGGAGGAACAAGGAAAAATGCCGCTAAGGCAAATTTAAGATGACAGATAGGCAAAAAAAACCATTAGAACTAAAGGTGTAAATTGAAGAGACTTGATGAATAGTAAGTAAAAATTCTTGGAATCAGAGTACCAGAGTTATAGCTCTGCACCACCTGATTAACAAGGAAACTCAAGTCTGCTCGTTCATTTAGATCCAAAATTACAGCTCTTCCTCTATGTAAATTACTATCCATGAATTTCTTTCCTAATCCCTGTTATTTACTATTGCTCTTACCTTATACTGTAAACTTCTTTATGAATTACTCTGTAAGCTTTGGGGTATCAATGAGTCAATATTAAAGTAAATGAAAATACTATAAATGCATAAACGAAATTACAGAGAGATTTAAGGGAGGGAAAAGACAGACACTGTCATTAGAGCAAAAATCTTTCCGGGATCCCAGTATTACCGTTTGTAAGAGTGGGTGCCAAACACCAATCTAATTTGCAGTTAACAAGCAAAGAATTGTACGAATTCAAAATCCATCTTACAGTTTCTCCATCAGTTACTGTAACAGCACTACTAGCTTGTCTCCCAATATGGCCCGTCTCAACCAAAATCTGAAAGATTCAATAATTAAAATTTAAAATAAAAGCTCCAGCACTGACGCACATTTGTGTTAAACATACTCACCCAGACAATCAGAAATATATAACCAAACAAAGCAAATTACAAAGAGTTCACGGTAAACTGAAGAAGGAAAAACTCCCTCCCCGGATTTCAAGTTTGCTAATTTCTCTTACACCCGAAGCTTCTTTCTTCACTCTGTAGTTCTACCTTCTCTCGAAGCTTCTCTAGCATACAAATCCATAAAACCCGGTGACATAATTTTATATATTTCAGCTACAACTCTCACCCAACCACTTGGAATAACTCAAACTTATGCTTCTTATTTTTAGATAACTACTGGCATACGGCATACTTGAACAGCCAAAACATTTCTTTTGGAAACGCATATACAACGATTTAGAACATTTTCCTCACGGTCTGAATAATAAAATCATTAACCCACCCGAACAATTTAATACCAGCATCCACTTCGGGCACCCTCTTGCCTGTGGAAAAACCTACGGCGACCATATTTCAAGATTCCTGCCTAAAAAAAACTTCCCTAAACTCGTTATTTACACAGCGAAGTCGCTAAAGTAAAATTTTCTCAGACTTACATATCTATCCCCAACAGGAATTTTGACCGAGAAAGGCCGCAAAGAACCAGGCGCTCCATCGCTCGCTACTGCAGATTCCGTAAGAGCCCTCGTAACGAATTTCCTGCCATTTCTGTTACTGCGAAGAATTGACAGAGAAGACGAGTTGGGTTTCCTGGAAGCCTGAAAGCGAGGGCAATAGGAAGATAGAGAGATTTTGGATGTCCCAAAATGAGAGAATTCGGAGGCGTGGGAACAGCATGGTCTGAAATGGAGGCCGCAAGGGTTTGCCAACATTGTTGGGTTAATCTCTGGCTGCAGCTGCGCTGAGCTCGAGGGAAGACGAGAGTACGGATTTTATCCACTTCCCAAGTCTATATAATTAACGGGTCGCCCAAGTTGCGATTTTTTTAGCTACATCTTTGGAGGGAATACTTTATATTTCAAATGTTAGAAAAAGAATAGGGTCAAAATTAATCCAAATGAGAAATGGAAATTAAATAGTTAGAACAAGAAGCACTGGTTTTGTTTGCTGAATGCCCTAAAATGTTCGGCTTTTTTAAAATTAAGGTTTTCTTAGTTTTCGCTGAAATTACGTCCTTTTGCCCTTCATTTGTTTTAAAACTCTATCATCTCCCCTGATATCCCTTGTATCCCTAATAATTTGCAAACTCACCCCTCCACCCAAGTTCCTTCTCGGTGGGGGAGGCTCTAGATGAGAAAGGGTGTCAGAGTCGTCAATGCTGGAACTTTCTTCACCAGTACTAATGAACTCGAACCTCGTTGATATCTGAATATGGTATGAGACCTGTTTGCTTTCATTTTGTAACGGGGCTTTTTTGGGAGGCTGAGGCTTGGATTGAGGCTTGGATTTTGGGACAGGCAGCTAGGTGAGGAAGACGATGGAGAGGGAGTGAGGGATGTGGGAGAGTGTCCATTATTGCTTCGTCAATATTCTCGAATATGGGGTAAAACCACTATTTAATGGAATCACATGTTGGATTTCTAACAAAAGCAATAACCTCAGGATCATGTCTATCGAGTTATTAGAATCACGAACATCTATGAAGAACGATCAAACTTAAATCAAATCACATTTAACATTGGATTAGATCTTCCTCGACTAAACACATCAAGACTCAAAACTCTCTCTGTCAAACGGGAAAAAGGAGAACTGTAATATGTTTAGCGTATTGGAGACTATAACCCTTGTATCCTATTTATAAGCCTAGTAAGAGTAAATAAGTATCCACCTAAATAAAAGTGCATACTCAATAAAGATCAATCGACTCATTTGCTTAGAGATCACTTTAGTTGGCCCAATAATAATTATACTAATATGTGGTTCACGATTTATTATTAAAATTTACAAATGTGCTAACAATCTCCCACTCGAATTACATATTAATTATATTATCAATTCCTTAATGTGCAACTTTAGGCTATTTACTAACAACTCTCCCTAAGAACAATCTTGTCCATTTCTTATTTAATGGTGAAGGAGTAAGGCGGCTTTTGCTATCTCATAATTGTAACTAAACCTTCCTTGGTCACATTACTAATACACTCAACAATGTAGATCGAGCATGGCATGTGGCATGAAAATTGCACGTTAAGTGATTTTACGTGCCAATTTTCAACTAGTCAAACTTTACTGATATCACATAAACAATTTGATATTGCACTATATATATAACCAATGCTAAAAAAACAAACCATATAACATCTTTATTCTGCATAAAGTATATACATCACTTTATATATGTACAAAACCACAAGACAGTAGAAGAAAGTCACTCCCACTTGACCAAGGTACAATCAAGTGTAACACAACACCCATATGAGTAGTATGTTTTAAAAAGACCTTAGGTGTCATTGGTTCCCATATGTTCTATGGTAAATAACTTCTCTTGTACTCTTTCCTTAACAATAAGAAACTTTATGTCGATGAATTTAGATTTCGTCAAATTCTTGTTGTTATTAGAATACATGACTACCGACTTATTGTCACAAAAAAATTTGAGCGGCTTCTCAATATTCTCAATAATCTGTAGTCTCGTGACAAAGTTTATGCCATAAACCATGATTGGACGCCTCATAGTAAGCCACAAACTCTGCAACCAAGGTTGAAAAAGGTACAAGTGTCTGTTTGACACTTCTCCAGGAAACATCTCCTCCAGCCAGCATGGACAGATATCCTAATATAGAACGTCTACTATCTCGGCATCCAACAAAATCGGAGTCAAAATACCCCAATGATCTAAATATTATCCGACCTCAAATACGTAAGCACGTAGTCATTTGTTTTCTACGAATGACTTGTTTTGCAACTTTACAGTGAGATATTCCTTGATCACTTGAGTATCTCCCCAAAATTCTCACTATCGCAACGTCATCGCAACATGGAGCGGCCGACATCATCCCTTGAAAGGTCCCTTTCGAGATAAGGGTTTGGAGTCGCCACCAATCATCTAAGAGGTGTCATTGGTCACCTATTTTAAAAATTTAGTCTGCGAAAACAGATGTAAATGAAATAAAGTTTATATTTATTTCATAAAAAAAACTCTTTTTATTTTATTTTAAAACAAATTTTACCGTGAAGTAATTTATATTATTTTCTAAAACTTATTTTAAAAATGTTTATTTTCTCTAAGAGGAAAATTTTAGTTTATTTTGTTTAAAAAGAATTTTTTTTTTGTTATTAAAAAGAAGGGGTACAGAGATTTCTACCGTCGAGCTTTGTCAAAAAGTCACAGGAGCTCTTCACCGTCATTGAAATATTGTCGATCTATTTGCCGGTGGTTGTTGGAGGGCGCCGGGGTCGTTTTGCTGTTAGTCACCGCGTCGTTCGTGTTCGTCGGAGTGGTTAAGGGAGATTGAAAAAAACTATGGTGGTGATAGTAAAATAGAAGAGGTAAAAGAAGAGGGAGACGTGGGATTTGAGAGAGGATGAACAAATAAACACAAACAAAAAAGGCTTGGACTTTGGATAGTGAAGAAGAAGAGGAAAAGAGATTGAATTTTTTTTACTCTCACTCCTCTACAATACCCTCTGTGCTTGCTCTTTGTATGTGTGCACTGTGTCTTCTTCCCTGTGTGTACCCTCTCTTAAATACACAAAAAAAAAACTGTAAAAGGGGAAAAGTCAAAAAGAAGAGAGAAAAAGGAGGGAGGAGAAAAAGGGAAGAAGAACACACGTTGGTTAGTGGGTTTTGACAAGGGAAAAGAGGAACAAAATCTATTTTAATTTTAAAAACAAATCCTTTTGTTTAAAATAAAATAAAATCAAATTCTTTTAAAACAAAAATCAATTTTTTTAATTTAATTAAAACTTTACCTTAAAACTAATAATAAAGTAAACTTATGTTATTTTTTTAATTAAAATAAAACTTAATACATTATAATACAATATTAAAATTAAATTAAATTAAATTAAAAATAAAAATAAGTCAGACCAAATACGGTGTCTACAGCTTGCCTCCTTTGTGTATCCTTGTAGAACTAAAAGGGTAGCAAAAGACAAAGTATTTAGGAAGGCGAAAATTTTATTCAGACAAGGCAAGATAGAGATAAATCCAACTTGACACTAGGCGGGATCTCAACATGCAAATGACCTGTACTTGACACATGCTTCGACCTCGATCTTGGATCGGGTTCGATTTAACCAAAAATAAGATGCAACGGACCTGGCTTTAACACAGGCTTTGACCTTGATTTGGATCGGGTTCGATTTAACTAATAGATAAAATTTATTGGACCTGGCTTTAACACAGACTTCAACCTCGATTTGGATCGGGTTCGATTTAATCGATAGATAAAATGCAGTGGACCTGGCTTTAAGACAGGCTTCGACCTTGACTTGGATCGGGTTTGATTTAACCGAAAGATAAAGTGCGATAGACCTGGCTTTAACATAAGCTCCGACCTCGACTTGGATCGGGTTCGATTTAACCGAATGAGAAAATGCAACGGACTTGACTTTAACACAGGCTTCGACCTCGACTTAGATCGGTTTGATCTAACCGAAAGATAAGATTTTTTATCACAAAAATGACCAAGCTTGCGAGCTTGGCTCTGATGGAAGGATGAGCTAGAACGTGCTGAGTAGGAGACCGGCAAGAGAAAACACTCTGACGCCCAAGTTAGGAAGAGTCCGAGCTGTATCCGAGAGAAAATACAATGTTCGCGTACTTGGGATAGAAACAAATGGTTTCTACATATAGGCAAGGTCTTCGACAGGATTCCCAACAAGGTCTCAATGAATCTTTAAGGTAAGTGCGAATCACGGCGTGCTGTCGTGGAGTTTGTCGGACTACGAGGCTGAGTAAGATACATTTAGGTTGGTTTGAACAAAGAATGGGAACGGGACCAAAGGAGATCTTGTTGGCTCAGCCATGACGGGTCTCGGCTTGGTAGACAATCGAAATATCTAGGTGATAAAATTTGGCTTCACATACTTAAAGCCATATATGTTTTTCCTTTCCAATAAGGACGTGCCATGTGTGATTCCAACAAATAATGCAATTTTTCGAAAAAAAAAAACTGAAGTTATTTAATTTATTAGGAAGTTCTCGACCTGAGTACATGGTTTTAGGAACCTTCCTAAACTTGCCTAAATACATAAAATGCGCACTTGACACATGACGATAAGACTAACGAAAACCACGTGTTCATACGAATGCAAACTTGCAATGGTAATATGCAGTGAAATTTCAAGAGCTTGGATGCTAAATCTTTGTTTTTTTTTCTCAGAAGGGGTACATTTCAAAGTTACTGAGTAGGTTTAATATGACAGATTCAAAGGTAGTAAAAACTCCTTTGGCCCCACATTTCCAATTATCTATGAAATAGTGTCCAAGTTCTGAGCAAGAAAAGAGAGATATGGAGAATAGTCCATATAATAGTGTTGTGGGGAGCTTGATGTACACAATGGTTTGCACTTGACTAGATTTGGCTCATGGTATGAGTGTTGTGAGCAAACTTATGACAAATCTAGGGAAGGTTTATTGGACAGCAGTGAAATAGCTTCTTCGATACCTAAAGGGAACTAACGGTCATGACTTAGCATATATTGGAGATTACAGAGGTGTTTGTCCCTTGGTGGGATATGTTAATGTTGTTGGGGGCATTGCCCTAAACTCGTAGTTTGTATTTATGTAAAAACAAATTTCTATTCAATAAAATTATATTCAATCAATTTGTTGTTGAATTCATGTATCTGGGACAATATATATATTGGGTATATATTTGGTATACTCTTGATATAAAAGTGGATAATGTCCCTAGAATAACCTAAAGGATCTAGTATATGGATAAGGTGGGGTATCTTATCCTGGCAACACTATGGATACAGCTCACTTTGTAAATGTTACAGACGACTCGATCCATGTTGTTCGTGTGGAGACATGCGAGTAAGGGTATCCTATACAATAAGTTTGTATAAAACCGGACCGTGAAATAGCTAATATTTAGATGTAATGTCGTTGACTAACAGATTGCTATTTCATAGAATGACCAGGCAACTCATTCTCAATCTTGAGTGAGTTATGAACTCCTGCCCGTGACGGCTCGTCCTTTGATCTGTGTGGGTGAGAGTGGCTCGAGTCGTCGACTCAACATTCCTACCATTTTGGGGACGAGACGATGGGTAAAACAGTAATTTGACCCAGCTTGAGTTACGAGCACTTGTGAAGGATTGACTTGCCATTAATAGTTGTATATCCAGTGAGAAGAGTGCAACTGCAGGTCTTTAGTGGAGTGAACCGTAGTTAACGAATATTGATTAACTCAGTCATTGAGTTTGGCTGATTAATCTCGTATCGTTGGAGCTTCTGATCTGTAAGTCCATTAGGTCATCTTGCTAGCTCACAACGGATAAAACGAGAATCAAGAATTATGAAATAATTTGAAATGTTCAAGTTATATAAGGGAATATATATAATGTATATCGATACATTATATATCAGTATATATTGATTTTAGATAAAGATTTAAAATTAATATTATATATTATGAGAGAAATGTTTGAATAGGATTCTTAAATTTATATTAAAACTATATGTTATACAAGACAAAGTTTTTTAATATTCAAATATATAGTTTTGATTATTGTTCAAAAAAATATACAGTTTTGATTAAATATGTGATATTTAATTAAAATATAAATAATTAATGGTTAATTATTTATGTATTTATTTAATTAATATTTAAATTTGATTAATTAATTATTAATTGGATTAATAATTATTAATCAAATTTATTAATTAGTTAATTATTAATTAGATTAATAATTAATTAATTAATAATTACTTTAATTAATTAAATGTTAATTAATTAATTTTAATTTTAATTAATTAATTTGTTAATTTGATTAATTATTTTTTAATTAAATAAATAAAAAAGAAAAAAAAAACTAACTCCCCCAACAAAATGCAGGGGAGTGGTGACGTGGGGAAATTTGTTTTTTTACCTAAGAACAGTTGTGTAGGTGGATCTCTCTCTTCTAGAACCTGCAAAAGAAAACAGAGGAGGATTCTATCCAAAAAGATTGCTCTCTCAAATTCCTTCCATTTGCTCCCACAAGCGAGTTCATCGTTCCCGGAAGATAGCGGGAAGATTGGTGGTAGTGTTCTTGAAGAAAGGTTCTTCAAAAGTTCTTTTCTCCTGTTTTTCTTTTTCAATTGTGTGTTTTTGTTCTTCAAAAATTCAAGAACAAAATCTTCGTTTCCGCTGCGGAATTAACGTTCTTTCAGATGCAGACTATGCTACAGATTCAGACAAATGGCGAAGCACATCAGGGGAGGTATTTGATGAGAAAACTGTGGTTCTTGAGAAGATTACTACTGAGGATAATATTGCTAATGCATTTATGAAGACTTTATCATCCATAAAATTTGAGAAGTGCGTGAAACTGCTTCAGTTAGAAGCAGGCTAAACAGTGACCTTCAGGATTAGAAAATAAGTAGCGTTTTCATTCATTCATTCTTGAACCAAGGTGGAGTTCTTAGCACGGTGGAGTTTTTTTAGCTAGTTGGAGATTTGTTGGGCCATGGGTTCAATTTGGGGCCATCTTTTTCATGTGTTGAAAACTTAATTTGTGGGCTTGTTGTCAATGTAGTTTTTTTTTAAAACAAAAGAACTCCCACGTGTCTAGCTAGGGCGCCCTTTTTGTGGTGAAAAAGAAAAACAGGATTGTTTTTTGTTTTTCTCTTGTGCGGCAGTACAAAAAGCAAAAAGAGACAGGATGGTTTTCTTTTGCGAAATCCTTTGGTAGTTCTTCTCACCATTTGTGTTCTTCATCTTGAAGGTGAGTAGCTACTTGTTGGGTGAGTTCAATAGGGATTTTATTGCTGTAAATATTCTGCTTATTGAGAATACTCCATATATATATTTTGTTATTGCTCTTGGTGATATGAATGGAATGGATGAGTCGTTACAGTAGATGTAGATCACGTTGATCAAACCACTATAAATCAGTGTGTTATTTCTTCTCTCTTACTCAGTTATTTTGTTGAATTTATTGTTGGAACTTAGTTATTATTATATATTTTTTTAAATTGTTGGTGTTGTTAGCGTAAGTTGTAATTACCCAAAAAATAGAAGAGATAGCCTATAGTACCATGATCCTATGTTTACCAGATAATGTACTTCGACAAGAATGATGTTGAAAAAGAGGGAGATCTATGAAAGAAACTAAGTACCCTCTTACTTTAGTAAATCTCTGTTTAATACGTAGGATACACATCGGTTTGCATTGGTCTCTCAAAATCGACTAGTCGCGTTTGGTCATATGATTATTGGCAGTTTTTGAAGGCTCATATAATTGACCAACCGTTCCGTCAATTTGGTCACTGAAATTGAGTGAGGTGATAGAAGCTCAAGAACTTTGAAAAAAAGAAGTTGGGACGAAGATGTTGTCACATAAAGAGTTAAGATGTGTTGAAAAGAACGAGAAACGTTGCGTTTTGTTTCCAATTCATTAAAGTTTCATGTACTAATTCTTGAATACCAATTATGGTAGAGTATTCATGTGGAATTTTTTCAGAAGTTTTTTGCATCGCAATGCCTATAGTATCGGCTTGACCCTTCATAGGTGGAGACAGAATAAAGCGTCCATAATAAAAACGCTGCTCTTGATTCAACACACTTCCACTTTAGTGTATGAGTTAGATACTCTTATTTTCTCCCAAACCATACTAATACTTTTTTGATCAAATCATTGAATTATTTATTTCTCTTGAAATTTCTCTTCAATGTTTTCGTTGCATACCCTGATCCACTACTGCCCACTTTTGATTCAATCTGAAGAAGCATAATCCAAATTGCATACCAAACAAGCCTTAAAATACTTTATACTCCATTCAATAACGATTTTTTTTTATTTTTTTTATTTTTATATTTTTAAAATTAAACTCGGTAACATTACTTTCATAGTCTTCTTTTGTTTTGTTATATGATTTTTATAAACATTTTAAAATCTAAGTCAAGTTTAAAAATATATATATATTGTCTTTAAAATTTCACTAAACATTCAAATATATTTTTAGGAAAGCGAAAGACTTAATAATGAAATTGTAAAAAAATAATCCTAATTTAAAAATAAAATAATTATCAAACAACACTCATTTATTCCTGACATCACATTTAGTGTCAGCAAAGTTTACGTTAGCGAAGTGTTGAAAGGGATTCTCGAGTAGCTATACACATATTATGGTAAAATCTAATTGGCTAATATTGAGCTTTTCGAGACTTGGCTACAAAACTTGACTTGTATACTTGAAGGAAACACTTTGAAATTGATCACACGTAAATTACCAAATAAATGTTTCCATGTACATGAAAATTATGGTCGCATTATAAGAAACTAGCACATACATTTCTAGGACTGCTCAAGCTTAATTGTTAAATATATTTTCAACCAAATAAGCTTCAAGTACAAACCCCAATTTCATTCATACAAAGTTGTTAAATATGATGAAAGGAAAAGGCAAAAGTAACAACAAAGCAGTTCACAGCTGTAACAGAAAATATATAACTTCAAACGTAACTGTCAATTAGTGACTTCCTCATCTCGTCAACAATCGAACTCGGTTGAGCCTCCCTCAATTTGAAAACGCTCTCGATCACCGATAACTCGGTTGCAGTAGTGTCTGAACCACAAAATGCAATCCAGTCATTTGCTGTTAAGCCAGCAGCAATCACTTCACTTCCACGATTGACAGTTCCGGCTACTAAAGGGACCTGAAGAAGGGTTGATAATTCGTCCAAATCTTCAATAGACGTATGGGGATGAACCTGAAGAGAGATTGCATAAACCAGGTCTCAGAGAATTTATCACCATGATGTTAAAAAAGCTCAATATGAGATGATTACACTTGGAAAAAAATAACAGGAAGGATGAAACTTACCAAGCCACCCCTATTTGTGAAGCTGCAGTAGCTTCCCACAAGAACGTTACCCGCCACCGTCTGCCTAAAGACCTCTACTCCGAGAACATCAGCAATGAGTTCTTCAGTTTCCTGATCAAAAAGAGAACATGTTAATTCTTAGTAGAAAGGGAATAAATGAAAGAGAACTAAAGCAGTCTAAAGTTCCATATGCATAATTTTCGAAAAAATTAATCAAAGAAAGATAGTCCACACAATGTGTCCGTATTCTGTACCCTGTCCAGTATTTATAAATGTGCAACACTGACAATCAGTTCAGAAAAGAACACCCACACTGCTCAAAAGAAAAGAGCCACTGCTTCCAAGGTGGGAATAAGATCTTCAACTAAACACATAGATATGAAATGTCCAAATGCGAAAAAGGGGAGGAGAGCAATGTCACAAACTAAAAAAGGTGATAGTGATGTAGTAAACGGTTTAATTTTAAATTTCTACGAAGTCTTAGAAGCATAATTTTAAGTGGGGAGAGAATAAGTAAAAATACCCGGTCAAGATCAGTATGTGCGAGAGCAACATGATCATTACAAGCAATGGTATTCCCTAAAGCAGATAGTCTCTCTTGTATGCGTTGAACAACAACTTGGTCGGGTAGACTGTTCCTCAAGTGCTGAAGTTCTTCAGAATGCAAAGAATAGGAACATGATCTTAATTAAAATAATTTGGAGATACACATCACATATTAACATAAATTAGAGAACATCTAAAAGAGTTTCGTGAAATCAGAACAAACAAAATCATACATTAATTTCGTGATGCATCCACAATAAAGGAACTTGTATGGACACAAGTTTAATAGTGCCAATTCCTACAACTGCAGGGACCGTGCAACATGAATTCAATACTGCATAATGATGTAGTTGCTCAACTCATAAAATTGAGGACAGGGACAGCCACCAAAGTGATCATTTGAAGATGGAGGAAAAATGGAAACGCATATTGATTTTGTAGCAACAGTTAAAATTATATAAGATATGGTTAGGCTCCACTGACATCACAAAATAGAACCTCCAAACAGACTACAGAATTTAATAATTCAACCTCATGGTTTTATTTTAGGCATACTTCCTCTCCAAGAGGTATGTTAGTGAAATCTGGGCATACCAGACCAAGAATTACAAATATCAGAGGATGGCAATTAAGGTTTTATCCTCTCTTTTGCTCGTGATTCAAGCTATGATGCTCCCTAGGTCGAGTTTTCATCTTTCTTCCTTTTTTGAGATTCAGTCTGTATGTTTTAGATTATTAAGTTGTTTTTACTTGGGAGATTAAGGGTTTGATTAAATGGGTGATTCAAGTTGTTGTGTTGAAAACAAGTTCTTTTTTGTTCTTCTTAATGCTGATAATCATGAAAAAAAATTAAGATGGAGTAAACCAGGAGAGGATATCATTTTGTTATCAATATAAGCTAGGACCGATTAAAATGGCTAGAGAAGTCTCTGGGGTAATCCATAGGCTCTTCAGAATCCACTGAACATGAAGTTTTTTCGTCAAGAAGGAGAAGCTTTGGGAACCATATGGTTGCATAAAAAGATGAACCAAGTTTTGATGGAGACACAAATTTACTTCGCTGATCAGCAATGGGGAAAGGAGTTATGTAGTCAGGCAGGTGTGAATAAAAAAGGCTGGTCCATTTTCTGGAAAATCATAAGGGAATTCTAGAATAAATTTGATGTCGGAAGGTATTTGAAGTAAACAAGAGAAGTGCAGAACCAGAAAGCCAAGGGCGACTCTTAACAAACGTTAATCAACAAGGTTAATGATAAAGGAAAGGGTAAGAAGTCATATGCAGAGGTGGTATCCCAGAAGCTTCAATCAGGTAAGAGATTGGGATGAAATTTCGGAAGGAGAAGACCTTTTGGAGATTAATAGGGAAAGCACCGTTATAGTGTCAAGACTACATTATCATGACGATAGGATGCTAATTTCAGCTGAACTTATGAAGGAAGTTTATGAGCCTGCATTGTTAAACCTTATCAAGCTGACAAAGCTTTACTAAATCTTAGAATAAGGAGGTTATGAAGGGTCTGTGCAAGGATACAAAGTGGAACTAATAGGCAAAATTTGTTACAAGTTAGAACGATAAAATGTGATGGATCATGATGGCTAGCTATGGAGGTTGGATAAAGATTAGGAACTTACCTTCACCCTCGTGGAAGAAAGATGTTCTTGTTGCTATGGGCAACAATTGTGGTGGATTTGAAGGATTATCATCATACACGTTGAACTAGTTAGATTGTCACGTGGCACATTTTGAGGTAAGAGAACATTTATGTGGCTTTCTTCTCATGGAAATAGATAACAATTTGCCTCAAGAAGGATATGTATTTGTTCAAATCGATGTGGGAGATGATACAAAGGTGTAAGCATTAAAAAAAGCTTTCAAAGGCTTCCTGGAACTATCAATGGGAAACATTGAAAATAGGGTTGAATGGAAAGTTGGAAGTTTATGATGAAATATGAACCATCAGAAAGTCTTTCTAGTGGATATAAATAAGAAGAGAATCCAGACAGATCAGGAAAACAGGAAAAAGGTTGCTGGAAAGGAAGATGAAAAGGCCTACGCATTAAATGAGACAAGCAGGTTAGGCAGGTTAGAAGGAACAATACTTAGCTACCAACCGACCAGCCAATAGAAATCTTCCAACTGACCACCACTAAAAATTGGACAATTTTATTTCTTGGAAAACGAAAAAAAAAAAATCTCCCCTCCCCCTTACTACATTCCTCTCCTACTTGTAAAAAACTTAAACGGTAGTCAGCAAGAGATTCCTCCCTCTCACCACACAAAAACCATCAATAATGTTACTCACTACACCTCTCGAAACCACTCTACTAAGAACATCCACACAACAAGAAAAGGGAAGGCGAAAAGAGGAAAAATTCATATAGAGCATTCTATATTAATGGGCTTTTGACTAGATGTGTGAAGGAAAATTGAAGTTTATTCCAAAGAAGGAGAAGGCCAAAGCAGTGGGGGATCCAAATGGCTTCACAGTTGAATTATATAGAGCATTTTGGATAATTTTGGACTTTATGAAAATTGCAGAAGAATTCTATGTTCACGGACATTTGAATGGATGTTGAAGGAAAATTTCATAAATTTGATACTAAAGAAGGCCAAAGCAGTGAGTGATTATACACCAATTAGATCAACAAGTGATTATAAGATAATTGCAAAGATTTTTGCAGAAAGATTAAAAGGAATTTTTCCAAGGATAATATTGGAGAATTACAATGCTTTTACCAAGGGGACCAATTGTTGAATTTTGCCAATGATAGAATTTTTTATAGGAAAGGCTCTTCATGAGAGTTTTGAATTAATTAGATGATATTAATCTTCCTTGGAGCAGTCTTTCTAAGTCTTATAATAATTTTTCTGTTAATGAAATTCTTGTTGGGTGGAAGGCCTTTGTTAATAATTTAGAATAATATTCCAGGTGGTGGCTGTCTAATTTTCGAAATTTGGAGGTTCTTTTCTTCCGGATATTTTTATCTTTATATTGTTTTGGTAGTTATCTTTTTGGTGTTACTGAAGGCCTAGGAAAAGAAGGTTGCTAAAGGAACAATCCATGAGCTTCTTGTAGATGATAATGCTTGAAGGTCTTAGGTAGGGGAAACAGAGAAAAGGGGAGAGAACTGATTGTAAGAAAAGAAAGGTAAAAGCGATAAGGTGGGAGGGTAAAAGTTTGAAGGAAAAAATAAGAGTAGAAACAGGAGAAATGTTAAACAGTTAGAAGTGAGAGAAAGACACATGGGTCAACGAAGATGGCCGGTTGGGAGATGGCTCTCTCCCTCTGTTTTGGAAAGACACATGGGTCAATGAAGAACCTTTATGTCAAACTTACCCCCTCCTTTTTGCTCTTCATACCAGGAAACATGGCCATGTTCGGGACTTTTGGTCTCTTGAAACCAAAACTTGGAATTTATGCTTTCGCAGAAACCTCAAGGACGCAGAGATTGTTGAGTTGGCTGCCCTTTTACACTGCCTTTCCTCAAAGCAACCATCTCTGAATAGGGACTCCATTGTTTGGAGACTGAAATCCCATGGATCCTTCACTACCAGCTCCCTCATCAAAGACCTCCAAAGCATCCACATCATCTACTCCACCGGATCTTTATAGAGCAATATGGAAGGAATCCTACCCAAAGAAGATTAAGTTCTTCCAATGGGAAGCTAGCCACCAAGCATTGAATACTCACGACAAACTACAGCGACACATGCCATATATGGCCTTATCTCCACAATGGTGCCCTCTATGCAAGCAACACAGTGAGTCCATCGGACATCTATTCCTCACATGCCCCTACACAGCAGCTCTTTGGAACAAACTCTTACCCCTCTTTGGATGGTCGGCTGCCCTCCCCACCAATATGTCTCAACTGCTTGCTTCGACTCTTGTGGGCAATATGCCTATGGATACACTTGGCAATATGCCTATGGATACACTTCATTCGGGCTCTTCTTTGGACTACATGGAATGAGCGGAACCGTCAAATCTTCCAAGATTTGGAGCGCTCACCACATGCCACTTTTGAATCCATTGTTTTTTCAGTCATTACTTGGTGTAAATACTCCCCCCTCTTCCACTCGTATAGCTTTGCCTCCTTATTGACAAATTGGAGAGCTTTTTTGTAACCCGCCTGTGGGTCCTCATTCTTTTTTGTAATCATCTCTCCCTCCTTTTTTCATTATATCAATGAAATCGTTCGTTTCCAAAAACAAAAAAAGTTAGAAGTGAGAACAAAAAAGGAAGGGGAAAAAAGAGAAGAAAGAAAAATCAGAGAAGAAAAAAAAGAAAGGGAGTAAGAAAAAGAAGGGAGAAAAGAAGAAGAAATAATAAAAATAAAGCAAGAGTTTTACAAGTTCTAGGGTTCCTTCAGAAGCTTGAAATGTTTCTTTGTTTTTATCCATTCTTGCATTGGGGTCGGTCCTCGTCTCTTTTGGCTATGCAGTGTTTTTTAAAGCTTAGGCACACTAAAGTGCAATAGTCTTCTGGAGCTTAAGCGCAAGGCGCAAAAAAAAAGAACGGACTTTTTTTTGCGAGGCGCACTATATATAAAAATATATATGGATATAAACATTTATGGAAATAAAAGAGTTATAACAGGTAACAAGATATAATATAACATATAAAAAGCCAAATAAGATTCAAAATATTATTAGTCTTTTAAATTAAGGAGACAATGTTCCAAAAAAAACATGAAAACAATTCTAAAATAGTAGGATAATTGCAAATATAAATCTAAAGATCAAAGGTTGGTTGCTGTAGAAAGAAATCGCAATGGCTGGCTGTTGGAGAAATCTTTTTTAGCAAAGGGTTGTTCAAAAAATTGCCACCAGAGAAATCGCAAAGGCTGGCAGCTGGCTTAAGAAATAATAAACATACTGGGCAAGGCCCATTTAAGTTTGCAGCTGACTTTCAAAATAAATAAAAAAAAAAAAGAAAAAAACCCTAGAAGCAAGGGTTTCTGCATTTAGGGTGGAGGTTTCTTTAAAAAAAATAATAATAAAAAAATTAAAAAAAAACACAGAAGCTCCAAGGCACACGAGCATTGCACCTTAGAGCCTTTTGGAACACGCGGCTCTGTAATTCCGCCTTGCACGACAAGTGCACCTAGCGCCTAGGCGGCCACCTCAACAAGCTTTTTAAAGCCCTGTGGCTATGTTCTTAAAGCTTTAGAGACTTGAGCTTTGTTTTTCCTCCTGATATTTGTTCTTTTTGTTCCTTTTCTTATTATGAAAAAACCACACTTTTGTTGAGGGGAAAAAAAAAAGATAATACAAGCAACACAAGAACAAGCACAGGGCATACAAAAAACAGCCTGAAACCAGAAGAGCCCTACACCTACCTAAAAAATGAGCTCAATCCAAAATAATGAGACTTAAAGGATAATTACAAAAGTCCTTAGAGACCGACACCCAAGAGGTAACCTAGCTAATGATCACACCTCCTGCCAAGGTCTCTCAAACATTCTACAAAGTCTATTGTTCCTCCCTAGCCAAAGGCCCCAAAGGACGGCAAAGAAGCCAGCTTGCCACAAATTCCAACCCTTGCTCCTGAATGGTAGACCATCCACCATAGACCTGCACACTCCCTGATCCAAGCCAAACAAACACCAAACACCTAAAAAAAGTTGTCCCAAACTAGGCAAGTAAACTCACGACCCTAAAGGAGATGATCCATGTCCTCAGCCGCATTTCTAGCCAACATCACTTCGGCCCCACCACAAAGAAGAATGTCTCACAATACAGTCCATAGCGTTCACCCTCCCGAGTAAAATTGGGGACGCAAATAATTTGACATCCTTTGAAATTTTGACCTTCCACAGCAAGGATAAAAAACGCCCAGAGGGAGGGTCACACAAAAGATGGAAATAAGAACTACAATAAAACCCCGTAGATGGGGAGGGGCCCAAAGGCAAAGTGCACTCCCTCCCTAACAAAGACAAAAGGTCCACAGCATCGGTTGTATCTCAATCAAAGGACGGGCCCATGGCAAGAGCCGAAATAGAAAAGAAAGAACCCAAGAAAGGAAGGACAGAAGCCACCAAAAAACACTTCATAGAGGACAAATAATAAAAACAAGGAAATCTATAACAAAGACGCGTAACACCAGACCAAATGTATTCCCAAAAATAAGTTTTGAACCCATTCCCCACACAACACTTCACAAACTGAAAGAAGAAGGGAACCCAAAAGAAATCGATCTTTAGGGGTTCATGATGTTTTGTTCCTTCATCCGTGCATCCAAGATTTGTTGCTGATTCTGGTCTTCAAAGGTTCTTCTTAACGTATTGAGCAGGCAACATTTGTAAAAGAATCAAGACACATCGGTGGTTTTTTCTTCCGTCCTCAAATTTAAAGCAATCAGAAAGTTTCCTTTTGAAGAAATCAAGCTGCTGTTATTAGATCTTGAAAAAGGTTACATGATTTGAAAATGTTACTAGTTTGGAATTTTGTAGGTTTGGAAGCTTTCAAGTTTGAAGGATGTGTGCTCACAGTTCGGTATTCAAAGTTCGTGAGTTGTCAAAGGTTTTGTTTAGCTGCAGTTGGTTCACATTCCACTTTGAGTTAGTGCTATTTCCTCCCTGTCAGCATCCAGTATTTAAAGATTTTTTTTAGAATTTTCAAAGATGCAAGCAGAGAGTTTTTATTGAACCAGAGAAGTAGAAGATGGAAAGCTTTTGGATTGTCTAAAATTTAGACCCTTTTTTCTTTTATCAGGATTCGAGCGTAGTTTAGTGTTCCTAGTTTTTCAAGTACATTGAGTTCAGAGTCCTGTAATTTAGTTTTCCGTTCTTTGCCAATTGCTACTCTTATGTAAGTTTTCATTTCATAAATGAATATTTTTGTTTCCTTTTTCAAAAAAATAATTCAAACGCACAATGCATTCATAAACAACAACCTGAAAACCCTGTTGATCAAGATGGTAACTATTTAGAATTGTATCATGTTAAAGGCAAGAATCGAACATTTGATAGGCCTCCAATCATTAATGTGTATAAGAGGAAACATGTGAATAGGGGAGATCGATATAATTAGCCGCACATTCATAAAAAGAACAAGAAAGTAGAAAAGAGGCTTGCCTTGATCAGTAGTGGTGTGGGGTACAAGAAGCCCATTTTTGTTTCCTGCAATAAGGAATATAAGAAAATGAATAAACTGACATATTAGATCAACATGAAATAAGTAGTATTGGGCCCCACAACATTAATACGTGCCTTCTAAAGATATGGAAAATAATGAGAAACAAAAAATAAATTTGACAAACCAGCACATAAGCGGCCAATAATGCGAGTGCCATCAATGGATGCTTTAACAACCGGAATGACACCACCCAATTCAGATTCGAAGGCACTATACCATGCAAACAATTTGTGAGAACTTGCTTCCAGATCAAACTAGTCAATTTGAAAAAGAGAACATTTTCTATTTTGTTCTGCTATACATTATATAGAATCGTGGAAAACAAAACCTGTAGAAGTTCTCAGAGCCACCAATTGCAACCAAACAGTAAGCATTAGTGAGTTTGGAGAAAACCCCAATTTCACATGAGTTCTCAAACATAAGCCCTGATGAATAAAGCATATAAGAAACATTGTAGTCACACAACCCCACAAGTGGAAGAAAACACTTGGTGAGACTTACTCGTCGCCATGAGTTGCAAGATAAATTTTTGATCAATCAACAGATAAATTCCAAGTCCTGCATGGTAAAATGAAGTTAAACATGGCCCTCACTTGATTATAACACAAGAGGGTGTCCTAAGAAGAACAGACACGGACATGAACAATACAAAATGGACATGGCGACATGAAAGTTTCTAAAAACAGTAATGGCGATAGGAAAAAGCCATCAAAATATAAGATATTTGTTAGAATTTAGAATGATTAGCATCTAAAAGTGTTCGAAATTTTTCTGTTTGTTATGAAGTTGAGAAAAGAAGTACGAACCCTGCAGCAGTTGGCGGCAAAGTGGTCGGCGGGCGCTCTGCGAAGTGGTAACAGTCGGCAATGTCCTCGAGGGTTTTCTTGGAGATTAGAAAAAGAATAGCGATTTTGAAATTATTTGAAAAGATATTTTAGTTTATGTCCATGTTGTACTGTTTTCCACTAGATTTTAAAAAGAGAAAAGGAAACGAAAAATAAAAGAAAAAAGGGACAAACCTCAACTCACTGTACGGCGACGGCGACGGCGACAACTGAAGGCGGCGGCGGTGGAGACTGAAGCTTGGGGAAGAGAAAATTCGAGGGAG